TATTGTGTCCATGTCTCCTCAAGAAATAATAAGGATAATGAAACTTGGATCTTTTAACTGTGTCTTAGATATTGATAAATGGGTCTTAGATGATACTGATTTGATCAGTAAAATTTAATATTTATCGAACTAAGTTGATCTCATCAAACTAGTCATTTTGGAAAGAAAAAAATACTATAGATGTTACATCCCATATGGATCAAGACAAGTCGAGCACACGCTAAGATGGGATGAGTGAAGTGGGTTTTGAGGAACTGGAGAGTAAAGATTGCAGCCACTGAAGAGGCTAGCCATGAGGTATAGATGATGACCAAAGAAGTAGCTACTGCCTTCAAAGATGGCATGGGAATTAGCATCTCCGAGCATTGCATTTCGCTGCTGAGCAAGTGCAGGAATCTCAAATCGGTCAAGCGAATCCACGCTCTTCTCTTCAAAACTGGCCTCCACAATGATTCCTTGGTCGCTGGCAAGTTCCTTCTCCACTGTGCTATTTCCATCCCCGATGCTCTCCATTACGCTCACCGTTTCTTCCTTCACTTCCCGACCCCTGATGTTTTCATGTACAACACACTCATTCGAGGACTCGTTGAGTCTGAATCTCCTCACAGCTCTCTCCAACTCTTCATGCAAATGCGTCGACAATCCTCCTTCCTGCCCGATAGTTTCTCTTTCGCCTTTATTCTCAAAGGGGTTGCTAATTGCAGGGATATGAAATCTGGGATGCAGTTACACGGTCAATCTTTGTGCTTGGGCTGAGCACTCATATCTTCGTTGGGACAACTCTGATTAGCATGTATGCAGAATGTGGGAAACTCGGCCTTTGCTAGGAAGGTGTTTGAAGAAATGTGGCAGCCAAATGTTGTTACCTGGAATGCTATTTTGACTGCCTGTTTTAGGTGGGGGGATCTGGAGGGGGCTGAAGATACGTTTAAACGGATGCCTAATCGGAATTTGACTTCATGGAATGTGATGCTTGCTGGATATACCAAAGCAGGTGAGCTTGAGTTAGCGAGACGAGTATTTTCTGAAATGCCTCTGAAAGATGATGTTTCATGGAGCACTATGATCGTTGGGTCTGCTCAAATCGGCTCTTTTGATGAGGCTTTGGTTTTTTCAGGGAGTTGCAGCGTCAGGGAATCAGACCTAATGAGGTAAGCTTGACGGGGGTGCTTTCGGCGTGTGCACAAGCTGGGGCTTTTGAATTTGGGAAGATTTACATGGATTTGTACAGAAAGCTGGGTTTCTTCAGATTGCTTCAGTGAGCAATGCTCTGATAGACACCTATTCAAAATGTGGAAATGTGGTTATGGCTAGGTTGGGCTTTCAAAGCATGCAAGTGGGGAGAAGCATTGTGTCTTGGACATCCATGCTTGCAGGACTTGCTATGCAGGGTCATGGAGAAGAGGCGATACAACTTTTTCACGAGATGGAAGAGTCTGGTATTCAGCCGGATGGTATCACCTTCATCTCTCTTTTATATGCTTGTAGTCATGCTGGCTTGGTTGAGCAAGGGAGTGCTATTTTTCTCAGATGCAAAGTGTGCACGGCATTGAACCCGCCATGGAGCACTACGGCTGTATGGTTGATCTCTATGGTCGAAGGGGAAGTTGCAGAAGGCCTATGAATTTGCATGTCAAATGCCAATTGTACCTAATTCAATCATCTGGAGGACTCTCCTTGGAGCTTGTAGCATTCACGGCAATGTTGAGTTGGCAGAGCTGGTGAAAGCAAGGCTTGCTGAAATGGATCCTAACAATTCTGGCGATCATGTTCTGCTCTCCAACATATATGCCACTGCCGGGAAATGGAAGGACGTTGCCAATATAAGAAGATCCATGGCCGAACAGAACATAAAAAAAGCTCCTGGCTGGAGCATGATTGAAATTGACAAGGTCATTTATAGTTTCGTGGCAGGTGAAAAGCCTAATGAATTTACAGATGAGGCTCACAATAAGCTGCAGGAAATAGTGTGGAGACTCAGAGCGGAAGCCGGCTACGTGCCACAGGTAAGGAGTGTTTTGCACGATATTGAAGAAGAAGAGAAAGAAGTTTCGGTGTCTAAGCACAGCGAGAAGCTTGCTGTGGCCTTTGGAATTTCAAAACTTCCAAGGGAAGATGATAAGAATAGTGAAGACCTGAGGGTTTGCAGTGATTGTCATACAGTAATGAAGTTGGTTTCTAAAGTTTATGGGGTAGAGATCATTGTGAGGGATAGAAGTCGCTTCCACTCGTTCGAAGATGGGTTTTGCTCTTGTAGAGATTACTGGTGATGGATGAGCTAGCTTTACCTGAAGCGCTACTATTCGTTGTATTGGCTGACGAGCTACATAGAAGAATGCCGACGCAAAGAGAACCTTTCAGTTGTGAAGATCAAAGAAAATGGACTGAACAAAAATTGGCCAGGGACTGTTACAGTTTATTTCCCAACTTTATGGATGGTGCTGAGATGAAGTTTATTACGAAGTGCAGCTTCAGCCTGATCAAAGGTGTTTCTGGAAACTGCATTTTTGTTGTCCTGATCGAGGGAAGCAAGAAAACCAAAATCCTACTTTTGGTTTGGTGGCAATGCTGCAACTTTTTTTTCCATTCATTTTGTATCGTTCCTCATTCATCTTTAAAATTGCGCGAGTAAACCCTACGTATATAGTCTTCATTTTCACGCTCTATTTATAAATTATTTTACATATATATTTTGCAGTGGCCAATTAAAAATTGAGTGACACATTCAAATTTACTTTATAGTAAAATCAATTTAAACAAATAACTTACTGCAAATCTTGAATAAATTAACTTAGATCACATATATTAAAAGTATCAAAATAAGTCTAGATAATTATGTTAATAAAAATATAGATGAAATTAAAAAGTATAAAGCTATAGTATGTAGATAATTTAGTTGAAAGGAATTTAGCATTTCCCTTCAGTATTCCGAAACAACAAGGAAGGGTAATAAAATATAATGATAGAGGATTTGAAAAATTTACATCCTGAAAATTTAAAAATTATAAGCATTATTTTATGAAATTAAAAATTACTGCCTCCGGTCCTAATTATAAGAGCTACTTGACTAATTTGAGAAGATTAAGAAAAGAAGTTAAGTTACTTATTTGTAATAAATAAGTATTTTTTTTCTAAAATATCCTTACTAATTAAGTGCATTAGCTAGAACTACTATTGTTAGAAAGACTACTTTGAAAAAAATACATAAATATGAGAGACAAAGTAGATTGGGGTTTTATATTTAGAATCAAAATAAAAGTCAAACAAGATCGTATATTAAAGACTGGAAGTAGTATTATATTTTTGTATTCAATAATACTCCTCCGATCCTTAATATAGGACTCAATTGTTGAGTTGGTTTTGATCCGAAATATAAGATCCATTTTTTCATATTTATCAATTTTATCTAAATTAACCCTATAAATATTTCCTCAACCAATGACGTAGAAGTGGAAGAAGGATATTAAGAAAGATAATTATGGTATTTTAAAAAAAATGTGTCATATTTTTTATAATTAACTAATTTACCTAATTTTTTTAATTTAATTAAATTAGTTAAATATGTCTTATATTATATCAAGTATACGAGGAGTAAGTAATTTTTGCATAACGTGGTCAAGGTTGTGGGGGCCGAGCGGCTACTGAGCAAAGTCGTTTGATATTTTTTGGCCGTGAAATATCATCGAACTGGCAGTCAGCATTTTCTGCCATCACCCAGCTTCTATCTCTGCATCTTTCATCTCCATGGCGCTCTCTGCTACATTCTCCGCTCCATCATCGCCAAGCCTCAAACTTTCCGCCAAATTTCGTAGATTTTGTTTCTCTCATACCATCAATTTCCGTAGGCCCCTTCAAATTAGGGCTTCAACTACTCTTGATTACTCCAATGTCTCTGTAAATGACAAGCCCACCCCATTAAAGGTGAGAACGATACTCTGTAATTTTAGCCGTACTCGTGGTGTTGCTTTTTAATTAATCTCTCTCATCAATTTGGCGTTTGTTTGCACCTATATTAGATGAATAGAACAAAGTGGCTATAATGATATTCATTTGATATAGCTATGGTTTTTGCGTTTTCGAAACTACTGTCTAAATCTCAGATGTAAGTGTTAGACTGAAAAATGTGGCCTTCATTTTCATGTAAATTAATAATTGCACCGAGTAGAGGAAGCAAGCTCAAGTGATTAAGCTCAAAAAAACTTCAAAAGTCTATTATATAGTAATTTCATTTTTTATAGGAACTGTGATGTAATTATTGTTTCAATTACTTGAAAATCTACTAAACTTCATTAACTGTAAGGTGCCTTCTAGACTTCTAGTTAATATAATCACGCGAACGCGCGCTTCTTGTAAACTAATCACTGGGAACTTGTAGCATTTGCTTGTCACTTTAGTGATACTTTTCATTTTGACACTTTCTTTCCCAGACTAATACTTGGCAATGGAAATTCAAAGACAATAATATCAGTATTTATTATGAAGAGCATGTAAAGGATGGTGCTGAACCTTCCCAGAATATTTTGATCATGCCAACCATTTCTGATGTAAGCACTGTTGAGGAATGGAGGTCCGTGGCTGGAGAAATTGTCCAACGTGATGGCAAAGTCAATTGGCGAGCAACTATAGTTGATTGGCCTGGTCTGGGATATTCTGATAGGCCAAAGATTGATTACAATGCTGATGTCTTAGAAAATTTTTTGGCTGAATTCATCAATGCACCCAATAGCCCGATTAAGCAACCAGGTTATTACGAACAGCCTTTGGCCAACCCCCCCGGGGGTCATCCTTTGCAGTTTTGAGCTATATTTCTTCAGAATAAATTACGCTAACTTCTTTGGCGAAATTACACAGATCTCTTGTTTCAAGAATCTTATTTTGCTCCTCTGACATTTCACATATATAGCGAAGATCCATATTCCGATTCCTGTGAACGAAGTTGAATTTATTTTTGCACTCCCAAAAAATGATTTTATTTTTAATATTTTTAATATTACTGTAAAGGAATGTTAATTTGATGTTATTGAAAAAAAACAGCCAAGTATTGTTTTGGTTTTTTTTAGAACGAATGCATATTGTGTGAAAAGGTAACTTCATTGAGAAGTAAATTAGAGGGGAGTTATCTGCAATATATATCCATGTCAAAAGAACCACATAATGGTTTTTGGACAAAAGCAATATTAATTGTCATTTAGCACAGTCTTAGGGGAGATTATGTAATTTACCTATTTGCTACTAGTTTAACATCATCACACTACGGGAACATTGCAGATACGATTGATATTCGCATCTTAGAAAAATCTGCCTGATAATTTACTTATTTTCTTGTTTAGAGCAGTTTGAACTAGGATATGTCTTCTGTTATTTATTCGGAAGTTTGAGGAGTATAATCTATTGAATTTCACTGTTAAAAGAGTTCTTTGTCTGGAAGCTACTACTAAGCTAGGCGTGAGTGAATGTTGATTTTGAAATATATACTGTGACTGCTTGCAAGGGCCCCTGAGGGCTGGTTTTTAAATTTTCTGAGGATGAGAAAGCAAGAATTTAGAAATGATGGTCATCCTTTCTGGTACAATGGGAAATGGTCTTTGCAGACAGTTGAAGGAGGGATTTCCTGATTGGTCACTTCAAGTCCTAAAATTTTATACGGTGTAGTGTTTACAACTAGTGCTCACATGATTCTGACTATGTCAGTCCTACTCCTACCTGACCTGAACTCTTATCTCCATTCCTGGATTATATGCATAAATAAACAATGAATGGCTGTTACTGTGTTAAACAGTCATAACTGTAATAGTTACTCCTTCCCTGTGACTTATATGCAATTAGCAATTGCTTTTTATCATAACATAATTCTTCTGTTTCCTGTATCAAGCGCCATGTTTACCAGATTTTTTAAATCCTAGGAGCTAGTTATTCTTGACAACTTGTTTGGGCTTGCCTTCACTTGGCGGTCTCCAGTAGTTATATATTTTTCCCTGTATGAGTAATGAGTATTTTGATATGTTGGGTGATTAATTAGTGTACTAACAATATTTATTAAACCAGAAAATGATTTAGTAATATTCGGAGGAGGCCATGCAGCATCAATAGTTCTTCGTGCTGCAAAAAAGGGTTTGGTGAAGCCCAAAGCTGTAGCTGCTGTTGCTCCAACTTGGGCCGGGCCCCTTCCTATTGTGTTTGGTCGAGATTCTAGCATGGAAACAAGGTGGGTTCGTGCCCCAATTCAAGTGGAATTTACCGTTTTCCTTCATGTGGCTTTATGTTCTACTGAAAAGAAAATATTACTCATGATCTGACATATCTCTGCTGCAATTTGAAATCAGTGGCCTTAGCTTAACTTCGTCCCCATTATTTCATCTATCTGTCTACAGGTCTCGGCATGCCTTTTCATAGATGTTCCCTACTCTGCCAAATGTTGTTTGGTTCGCATGTACATTTTACGTGGCTATACAATTTAAAGAATCATGCCTGCCATTAGCAGATTAACTTGTTTCACAATAGAGCATAACCGGTATCTGTTCCCCATCATAAAACTTGCAGGTATGGCCTTCTAAGAGGCACCTTGAAGGCCCCTGCTGTTGGCTGGATGATGTACAACATGCTTGTGAGCAATGAGAAGGCAATTGAATCACAGTACAAATCCCACGTCTATGCAAACCCTGATAACGTGACTCCAGGAATTGTGGAAAGCAGATATGCATTGACAAAACAAAAAGGAGCTCGTTATTTGCCTGCTGCTTTCTTGACTGGGGAGTTGGACCCTGTAACATCTCGCGAGGAGTTCCTTGAACTCTTTGCATCTTTGGAAGGAAAGACACCCATCCTTGTTGTATCAACCAAAGGAGCTCCAAAGAGGTCAAGGGCAGAGATGGAAGCTCTTAAAGGAGCCAAAGGAGTGACCAAGTTTGTGGAGGTGCCAGGTGCTCTACTTCCACAAGAAGAGTATCCTGCTATTGTTGCGGAAGAGCTTCACCAGTTCTTGCAAGAATGTTTTGACTCCCGGGCTTAACATTGGTGTTCACGGTTCTGCTACAGGTTTCCCCCTTTTACGTGTTGGTGAGGTTTTGGAGGTCCCAGTATTCATATATGGAAGAATGAAGTTTGTGCAAAGATAAACATGAGGGTAACTGTACAAGCGTGATTTCTTTTTGGACATAATCCCTATTTTGTATATTCGTACTTTTTATAGATTCCGGAGCTATCTGGATGAACTGGAGCATAGGACATTAGAGGAGGCAATCTGTTAATGATGAACCAGAAATCAGACCTGGAAGAGGTTATTCTGTGTTGTGGTTTGTGACAAGCCTGTAAACTCGTACAAGTATAAAATCTCTCTCTCTCTCTCTCTCTCTAAATGTTACAGAAAAAGTAGAGAACACATAACAGGTGATCAAATAATGCAAGCATGCGTTCACCAAAAAAAAAAAAATAATGGAGCCATGCGTATATTACATAACTATGAGAATGCCTGTATTCCCCAAAAAAAAAAAAAGAGGCTGTGGGACGGAGTATGTTCAAGTGATATTGATATTGAAAAAGAAATCCCGGTTATCGGTTAGTGCGTGTCTGACGAATGTGAATCGGAATGGTAAATGGCCAAGGCTCCAATGTCACCTCTTAGATCTCAGTGGTCATTTCCCAATTCCCCCCACCTTCGCTTGCTGGAAATTGGCCAGTGCCTTTTATTATGTTTTCTTGCCGTACCCTTGTAGGGCATCGTCCTGGACACCTATCCCCAAGTTCCCCACTTTGACAGGTGAAAAAAAAAGCAGCCATAAAATTAATATTCTGTAGCTATAATAGTATACATCTTTTTAACCTTTTTTTGTACTGAATATAGTTATACGTATGAAAAAAGGGGGAAATAAGGCAAAAGAAGAAAATTGTAAATGGCATGTATTTGTTTTGTTTATACAGAATTTATATGCAAGAGGGAATCGCAAAGGCATATGCAATAAGTGGGAGAGGTAAAGGGGGTGGGTGAGATACATAATGTAATGTGACCTGTGATTAAAGCACCAAATAATAAGGTGAGTACGGTCATGTGTTCATGTGGCTGAAGACTTCAGATGAAGATCCCTTCACTGCTGTTTCTGTGCCAACACAAGATGCCCTACTCCTACGCACCTACACTTCACATAGCTGCGAGATCAGGGCACATCATTGAACTCATGCCATTAATTTCCGTTCAAAAACAGTACACCTTCTTGAATTGGAGGGACAGCCCTAACAATCTCATATTAGAAGCGAGATCGAATCTTTGACATCAAGATATTCCATCATTAGACTACAAAACATTTGGCAGAATCTCCCATTTCTTAGATCTTATATCAAATGGAGATGAGGAGCCACCCTTGAATTTATTTTCTTCAAAAAACAAAATTACCACAATGTGGAGAACTAGGTTACAATCAAATTCTTAAATGACAGCAGTATCTTTCTGGGTTATATTTAACTTTTTTCCAGATGCAAAAGAGGAGCATTGAAGAAGTTGTTTACATCAAAAGCAGCCTTCCGCACCAAAAATGGTTGAGTATTTATGAAAGATTGAGCTTTCTTTAATGGGATTTGATGAAATGAAGTTGAATGATATTTTTAGTGTAGCCCAAATGAACAATTAAAATGGGGGACGCAGAATGCAGTGCCGACACAGAAGAACAGTACGGCTTATTGTTATTCATTTAAGTGCTATCACTGTGATTAGGTGATGCCATTTTGGATTAATAAATGGATAAACAGAAGGGAATTGATGGATGATTCTGACTTATCCTTTGCTATTTCCACAAATTAAACTTTAAGAGATTGCTGTGTTCAATGCTATGGCCTCTTCATTTGTTGCTGTGGTCCTCTGTACCATTTTCTTGGTGTCCCAATCAAACCATCAGATCGCAAGGTTATGTCATTGGAACGTTATGTCACCCATTAGAGTTATGTTCTCCTTTATTTGTTGTTTGCATTGCCTAAATATGAAAGATATCAGCCTTTAAACCAGAGAAAGCTAAGATCAGAGAATGGGATTTCATTACTCAGTGCAGAACATTAAGTGTTAATACTGGTTGAGACAGTACTAGCCTCGCGGCTTGGGTTCGTGAGCTGATCAAGATGGGCTCCGCCTATTAAATGTTTGTAATTTTTGAAATTATTACTTCTGATCCATCGACAGAATATATTTTAAATGAAGTGAGCTGTGTTGCTTTTTTAAGTAATTTTCCCTGTCGAGCTTCGTTGAAAAGTAAAACAACTACACATTGTAAAACCCATCTCATGTACATCAAAGACTCTGTTTGATGGGCTGAGAACTAAACAAAAAGCACACAGAACAAGAACAACATAAAAACAAGAACAAAAAGAAAACTAACGAAGTGAGCTATGACTTCTTTTTTTTCCAAATTCCAATAGATTTTATTGTTGGAAGAGGTTTCGTTGATTTTTTATTTTTATTTCTTGGGGTAGTAAACTCAAATGGTGGTCCCACGACATTGACTGTGGTGTCGGAAAGAGGATCTCTCGTACGTGACAAGTTATATGAAGCATGAACGTTCTGAAGATCTCACCTCGTTCATAATCCTATATGCATTCATCTCTAATTTAATTTCATACAATTCCTTTTTACGGGCTAATATCTGTAAATGAGATTGGATCAGAATTAATTCCTCACAATATAACTGAAATTTGAATTCCAACTAGAAAGCCTTGAACAATATTATTTTTAATAAGAACTTGTAAGAAAAAAAACATAGAAGCGTATGGGCTCTACTCGAGAGAAATTTTGCAACACAATTGGGATAATAAAATTTTGATTCTTACGTCCAGCTTAATTATCAATTTAGCCCCTATCAACCCCCCCCCAAAACAATTTAGTCCTCTATGTTTGATAAAATTGTCACGTTATCAAATCTAAAGCAACTGGTTGTTACCATTTCAAATGGTTATTGGCATTTTATCATATATCCTTTAATTATGTGTCCAATGCATAAAAATATTACTCCTCCGGTCCTAATTATAAGACCCAATTGACTTATTTGAGGAGATTAAGGAAGTAAGTTAAGTTGGTTATTTATAATAAATAAGTGTTATCATTCCTAAAATATCCTTGCTAATTAAGTATATTGGCTAAAACTATCATTATTAGAAGGATTATCTTGGAAAAAAATGCATAAATATAAGAGACAAAATGGATTGGGTCCTATAATTAGGACCAAATAAAAAGTTAAATTGGGTCTTATAATAAGGACCGGAGTATTTAAAGAAAATTAAGTTCCTGCCCTTTAACGAAATCCATTTCCATAGTAGTTTCTTTTTCAAACACACAACAAACCAACCCAATGTTTTCCACAAAAAAAGAAAAAAGTCTCATTCTCACTTTCACACACACACAAACACCACATACAACAACAAAACAAACCAACTCAACATTCACCTGGCTAACTTTAATTTTTCTATTTATAATAATCTAACATCTTGAAGAGAAGGGATTTATTTAATAGTTCCTCCTCTTTTTATAAGCAACCTTAGATTCTATTAGGTATATCAAAAAGTTAGTTAAAAATAATAAATGGGTAGAAATTAAAAACTCTTTCTCCAAAATACCCTTATTTATTGGAGAGAGAGATTATAACTTGAAAAATAAGATAATAAATATATTAGGTACTGTGTCAAAATAAGTAGTTAATGGGGTAAAATAAAAAATTTCTACAAAAATTTAAAACAACTTATAAATATTATTTATATTTATGGATAAGAGAAAGATGATAATTATTACTTATAAAAAAAAGAACGGAGGGAATATTTATCATTATTAATCCATCTATGATAACTTTAAACAATGGCAAAAAAAAAAACCGACAACTTTAAACAACAACAAAAATCAACTTCTGTTTCTGAATCTGAAGGTTAATTGCTGGCCACATTCTCTCTGCCACGTGTTGGGCCGGCTAAAGGGACTCCAAATTAATATGCCCAATTATTTAAAATGAAGAGAAATTAAATATAAATCTATCACATCACAATTATTTAAGATGAGTCAGACATATCTAATATCTAAAAGAATAAATAAAAAGAATTATAACGAATAAATGAATTATATGTATGCATAGTTGATGATGATTTGTGCAAATTTTTCGTAGCTATGGATTTGTAGATATGGATTACAGATAACAATTGCAAACCTTTGTTATTTGCCTCATTTTTAATTTTCTTAATTAATAATATACTGGTAATTTTTTAATTTGTAAAACAAAAGACATTAATAACTGATAATATGTACTCTTGACCTGATTTAATAGTTGGGGAAACTAAGTTGATTAAACATTACCATTTTTATTGAAACCCACCATGCATTTCATATACTTTTCACTGAACTATTTTCAACATGTTTTATGCAGACCAAGAAAAATTTTAAATTTTATTAACTCTTATTTAAAATTCAATAACTTTTTAATTTTAGCCTTATTCAATATATATAATATTTTATGCAAACAAAGTCAATACAATAATAAATAGAAGGTAAAATTATACACCCATAAAAAATTTCTCTGAGTTCCTTATAAATAGGACAAAAAAAATATCTTTTCTTTCTACTCTATAAATACAACCAAAGGAATTATTGTTAAATTGAACACTTATCAAACTAATTTAGGACATGTTCGAAATGATGGCACGAGTCTTTTTTAAAGGTGATTTTTTAATCATGATTCACGAGATACAAAATAAATATGTAAATAAAATTTTATCTCAATTTATGTGAACATACTTATAAATACTTAATATAAGTAATGAAATTGTAAACAAGGTCTTAGATTATCATGAATACGTAAAAGAAAAAGTCATAATCTCTTAAAATAATTAAGAATTCAATTTTCAAATTTTGTATATAGAGTAAATCTAGTTTTGAAAACATCTTTAATACCCTAAGTTGGTAGGAGTATTAGTTTTTTTCCCGAGGCAGGATACTCCTCATTTTTTCTTTAAAAACAATGATTTAATTTAATTAATGAATTAAACTAATCAAAGAGGTAAATTAACTTCAGACCGGAAATCACGTACGGCACAAATGTGTGGAGGGACAGAATTTGTTTTGGTCGCACGTTCATTCAAATCCATGCATGCACAATTCTATCTAATAAGCTCTCTCATTTCACCACTAAAATTGGTTAAGAACTGACATACGATATTACCATAATGGCCCTTATATATGTTGGAAGGGCTGAAGTACTGTTCGAGGTTTTAATTTTAAAAAATATATATATTTATATAGTCTGACTCGGTTGAAAGCATAATTCGAATCCTCTCATATAGAAAAATATTTTTAAGACCCATTCTTGGCTAGGATATATCATGTATAAATGATGAGAGATAATAAT